CAGAAATATGCCATGGATTGTGAGCGACCTTTATTAAACTGTCATGGTAAAGCTTTTGCAAAACAATTTTTGTGCATCAGCTTTGGTTTTGTTTATGAATGCAATGCATAGCATTTTTATGCTATGGATTTTCGGTATTGCAAATTTGCCCAGCCATGACAAATGCAAATGCGTGTATTTTGTTTGTGTATTGCAAATAATTTGCAATACAAATTTGCAATGCAATGATGCTAGGCCATTTGCACCGGATCGCGAATAGCCCTATTAAGTTCTAGCTTAGAAAATGCAAGTTTCAAGTTGCTAAGAATTCACGTTGATTTTTGATACTATTTTGCGGATGGTGTTATTTTCTTCCATACAAAAGAAAATGTCGGAAGAACTTTGATTGCAAGTAAAATTATTAAAAATCAACGCGAATACTAAGCCACTTGAAACTTGTCCTTTCTTAAGCTTGAATTTAATGAGCTATAAAACTGCATACTTAGATTTTTTCTCAAAAATTTTAATAAAAAAATGTGTTATAAAATTTTGTTTAATTTTTCGACAAACTTTGAAATTTGGACTTATGTATATGGTTTTTGTAGATAATTAGTTGTATTTTAAAAAAAAAAATTATGTGTGTAACAAAAAATAGCCACAACTGGTCAAAATAACGTGGCCCTATTATTTTTCACATGACTATACATATGTACATATATGGCCTAAATATCGATTTTAAAATTAGTGTTCGTAAAACATGCACTCATTTCGTAAACCAAAAGTTCATTAAAATTCGCTTCCTTCAATTCAAATCTTGCATAAGCAGCAGTGTTGCCAGTTTGTGGCTTTTGGTGTCAGATTTAGCTCCTTATTTTTCTATTTAGCTCCGAAAATTGGGATTTAGCTCCTAGCTCTTTTCAAAATTATGTAGCACTTTTTTAGCTCCAGAAAGTTTCAGTTGTATTTGATAATATATTAAAATTAAAAATCTGTAATTCCATTCTACAAGTGTTGACTAAAATTCATTTGGCTTTGGTGATCTCATGCTATTTTCGATACCGTACGCAACGCGGGATCCCGCGGGTGCCCAAAATAGCCCAGAAATCATTCCCGTACTCTACAAAATGGGTAATAGAGAGCGAAAATTGGAGCGTATTGGATCGTAAGTGTCTTCTTCTTCCTGTCCGAAACAGCCCGGACTTTTGCTCCGAGTAAAAATGGATAAAGCGTCAAAGTGCATATCAGCTGTTTTGTGTTTATACCGGGCAGGAATTTGAGCTCCGATAAGCTCAGACGGTGTATTCTCTCTCAGGCGGCCACGGTAGAAAAAGAAAGCCAAAACTTAAGCGTTTATAAAATTACAAATTTCGAAATGCAGTGGAACATACATTTGTATTCACAGGGAAATACAAACTCCACCATAAATTCTTGGATGTAGGTTAAAGAATTCAAAAATGAATTAGAAGAAAATCCTTTTTCTGAATGCGCGGATTTTGTTTTTACCTTACTAATTTTACCGTAAGGAGAGAAGCAAAAAAAAATACTTTTCAGAAAAATTTTGCGAA